GGGATGGGGAGTGAGGGACGCGGAGGGAGGGGGCCACAGGGAGTGAGTAAGGGACACGGAACGAGGGAGTGACAGGGAGGGAGCGAAGGGGATGGAGCGAGTGATGGGGAGGGAACGAGGGACAGAGCAAGGGACATGGAGGGAGCGAGGGAGCGAGGGACAGGGAGGGATGGATGGGGTGGGAGGAATGGGTAGGGATCGTGGGATGTGTGGGAGGGACGGGGACGGAGCGAGGGACGGGTTGGAAGCGAGGGAGCGAGTTACGGAGCCAGGGACGGGGAGGGAGGGAGCAAGGGACTGGGAGGGAGCGAGGAAGTGAGGGATGGTGAGGGAGTGACGAAGCGAGTGAGCAAGAGACAGAGTGAGGGAGCACAGTACGGAGCGAGGGAGCGAGGTATGGAACAAGGGAGTGAGGGACAGGGAGGGAGAAAGGGACAGGGAGCGACCGAGGGATGGGGAGGGAGCAAGGGACAGGGAGGGAGCAAGGGGCAGCAATTGAGTGAGGTAGCGAGGAAGGGGGAGAGGGCGATGGAGCGAGGAATGGAGTGAGAGCGTGAGGGTCAGAGCGAGTGACCGAGGGAAAGGGAGGGAAGGAGCGAGGGATGGGGAGGGAGCGATGGAGCAAGGGAGAGAGGGACAGGGAGGGAGTGAGGGACGGAGAGAGTGAACAAGAGACGGGGATGGAGGGATGGAGCGAGGGATGGTAAGAGAAGGTGAAAGCGACAGGGAGGGAGCGAGGGATGGGGAAGGCGTGAGGGATGGGGAGTGAGCGAGGGATGGGGAGGGAGCGAGTGAGCGAGGGACGGAGCAAAGGACAGGGAGGGAGAGAGGCAGCGAGGGACTGGGAGGGAAGGAAAAAGTGATGGGGATGGAGGGACGGAGGGACCAAGAGGGAGGGAGAAAGAGACGGGGATGGAGGGAGCGAGGGACGGAGAGGGAGCGAGGGCAGAAGCGAGGGACAGGGAGGGAGTGAGGCATGGGGAGGGAGAAAGGGAGGGAATGAGAGAGAGGAACAGAGAGAGCGAGGGATGGGGAGGGAGCGAGGGATGGGGATGGAGTGAGGGCTGGAGAGGGATCAAGGGAGGGCGATGGAGTGAGGGATGGGGAGGCAGCGAGGGAGCGAGTGGTGGGGAGGGTGCAAGGAAGTGAGTGAGCAAGGGATGGACTGAGACAGCAAGGGTCGGAGAGAGGGAGAGAGGAATGGGGAGGGAGGGAGCGAAGGATGGGGAGGGAGGGAGTGAGGGACGGGGACTGAGAAAGGGGCAGTGAGGGAGGGAGTGAGGGAGTGAGGGACGAGAGGGAGTGTGGGAAGGGGAGGGTGTGAGAGACCGGGAGGGAGTGACGGGGAGGGAACGAGGGAGAGGGTGAGGGATGAAGAGGGAGAAAGGGGCGGGGAGGGAGCCAGGGAGAGAGGGAGGAGGGAGCGAGCGGGAGGGAGGGAAAGAGCAATGGTCGGAGCGGGGGAGAGGGACAGAGCGAGGAACAGAGAGAGAGTGATGGTGGGGGAGCTAGTGAGCGAGGGAACGAGGGAATGGGGGAGGGAGGGAGTGAAGGATGAGGAGGGAGGGAGAGAGGGTCGGCAAGGGAGCGAGGGATGGGGAGGGAGTGAGCGAGGGAGCAAGGACGGGGAGGGAGCAATGGACAAGGAGGGAGTGAGGGAAAGGGAGGGATTGAGGGAGTGAGGGAGAGAGGGAGGGGAAGGAGCGAGGAAAAGGGGGCAAGATAGGGATGGGGAGTGAGGGACACGGAGGGAGGGGGCCACAGGGACTGAGTAAGGGAGACGGAACGAGGGAGTGACAGGGAGGGAGCGAGGGGGAGGGAGCGAGTGATGGGGAGGGAGCGAGGGACAGAGCAAGGGACAGGGAGGGAGCGAGGGAACGAGGGACAGGGAGGGATGGATGGGGTGGGAGGGATGGGTAGGGATCGTGGGATGTGTGGGAGGGACGGGGACGGAGCGAGGGATAGGTTGGAAGCGAGGGAGTGTGGGATGGAGCGAGGTAGCAAAGGACAGGGAGGGAAAGAGGCAGCGAGGGACGGTGAGGGAGGGAAAAAGGGATGGGGATGGAGAGGGAGGGAGAAAGAGACGGGGATGGTGGGAGCGAGGGACGAAGATGGAGGGAGCGAGGGACGGGGAGAGAGGGTGCGAGGGACAGAGAGGGAGCGAGAGCGGGAGCAATGGACAGGGAGGGAATGAGGGACGGCGAGGGTGCGAGGGAGGGCGAGGGAGCGAGGGACGGGGAGGGAGGGAGCAAGGGATGGCGAGGAAGCAAGGGATGGGGAGGGAGCGAGCGAGGGACCGAGAGACAGGGAGGGAGCGATAGACAGGGAGGGAGCAAGGGAGTGCGGGATAGGGAGGGAGTGAGGGAGTGAGTGAGCAAGGACCGGAGCGAATGGGCGAGAGATGGAGCGAGGGAGCGAGAGACGGAGCGATGGAGTGAGGGCCGGGCAGGGAGTGAGGGATGGGGAGGGAACGAGCGAGGTTCTGAGGGACAGGGAGGGTGCGAGAGACAGGGAGGGAGCGAGAGAATGAGGGACGGAGTGAGCGAGGGATGAGGAGGTAGGGTGGGAGTGAGGGGCGGGGAAGGAATGAGCGAAGTACGGAGATGGATGGAGAAAGGGAGGCAGATGGAGGTATCGAGGGACAGAGAGGGAGTGAGGGAGAGAGCAAGGGATGGGGAGGGAGCGAGGGAGGGAGTGAGGGAGTGGGAGCAAGCAAGGAATGGGGTTGGAGTGAGAGACGGAGAGGGAGAGAGGGAAGGGTAGAGAGCGAGGGATGAGACGAGAGTGAGAGACGGAGTGAGGGGTAGGGAGGGAGCGAGGGAGCGAGGGACGGGGAGGGAGGACAGGGAAGGAGAGATGGATAGGGAGGGAGGGATGGGGAGGGAGTGAGGGAAGGGATGGGAGCAAGGGAGCGAGGGACAGGGAGGGAGGGAGGGAGCAAGGGACAGGGAAGGAGGGATCAAGGGACGGGGAGGGAGAGAGGGATGAGGTGGAAGCGAGGGAGTAAGGGATATCGAGGGAATAAGGGAGCGAGTGAGCGAGGGACGGAACGAGTGAGCGAGAGACGGAGCGAGGGAGTGAGGGATGGAGCGAGGGATCGAGGGACGGGGAGGGAGCGAGGGATGGGGAGGGAGCAAGTGAGGGATTGAGGGATGTGGAGGGAGCGAGGGACGGGGTGGGAGCGAGGGATAGGGAGGGAGCGAGGGAGTTAGGGACAGCGAGGGAGCGAGGGACAGGGACACAGCGAGGGATGCAGAGGGAGGGAGGGAACGAGAGAGAGGGACAGAGGGAGCGAGAGGTGGGGAGGGAGCAAGGGATGGGGAGGGAGAGAGGGAGGGAACGAGAAGAGGAACAGAGGGAGCGAGGGACGTGGATGGAGTGAGAGGGAGGGAGAGGGAGAGCAATGGAGCGAGTGATGGGGAGGGTGCAAGGAAGTGAGTGAGCGAGGGATGGAGTGAGAGCGCGATGGTCAGAGCGAGGGAGAGAGGATTGGGGAGGGAGGGAGCGAAGGATGGGGAGGGAGGGAGCGAGGGATGAGGAGTGAGCAAGGGGCAGGGAGGGAGGGAGTGAGGTAGTGAGGGACGGAGGGAGCGTCGGACGGGGAAGGCTTGAGGCACCAGGAGGGAATGACGGGGAGGGAATGTGTGAGCGAGGGACGAGGTGGGAGCGATGGGGAGCGAGGGAGCAATCGACGGGAAACGAGGGAGTGAGGGAGGGAAGGAGAGGGAGCATGGGACAGGGATGGCGACAGGGAGGAGGGAGGAGGGACATGGACTGGGAGGGACAGGCAGTGAGGGACATGGTGGGAGTGAGGGACGGGGAGGGGGCGAGGGACGTGGATGGAGTGAGGAAGCGAGGGACTGGGAGAGAGGGAGCAAGGGACAGGGATGGAGGGAGTGAGGGATGACGAGGGAATGAGGGATGGGGAGGAAGCGAGTGAGGGAGCAAGAGATGGGGAGGGAGCGACTGACAGAGAGGAAGAGAGGGAGTGAGGAATGAGGAGAGAGTGAGTGAGCAAGTGAGTGAGGGACAGAGCGAGTGAGCGAGAGATGGAAAAAGGGACGGAGGGAGCGAGGGACGGAGAGTGAGGGAGGAAGGGAATGAGGGACGGGGAGGCATGTCGCGAGGGACGGGAAGTGGGTAAGGAATGGAGCAAGGGAGCAAAGTATGGTGAGGGAGGGAGAGAGTGAGGGACGGGGAGGGAGGGAGAAAGGGATGGGGAGGGAGGGAGCGAGGGATGGGTAGTGAGCGAGGGACAGAATGAGGGAGCAAAGTACGGC